TAAGGCCAAGACACAATACTCTCTGCAGCTAAAAGAGAGAACTCGGCATAAAGTCCCAGATATTGTTGCACTAACAGAGACCTCACTTGAAAACAATATGTTGGATTCCCAAGTAGCTCCTCAGTGTGAAGACATGAAAGGAAATCTCGGAAGGGTGGAGGTATTACTGTTCTGGTGAAAGAACACCCAAAGGTAAGAATTAATAATCGACAAGCATCGGGAAATTGACATAATGGCATTGCCGGTTGGGAATTGGGATGATAAACTGATAATTGCAAATGTCTCAGCCCACCAGCAAGTAACACATGGACAAAGGAAGAACTAGATGACAAACGAGAGGGGCCTCATAATGGTCATGAAAGAAATCATAGTAAAAGCAGAGAGCTATGAGGATTTGCATCTGGTGATTTATAAACAAGGATAATTACCACATTTAGAATTTTGTTTTGTTTATCAGCACTTCTACCATATAATTTGTCGAGTTTAGCAGCTCGGTGCTTATAAGTGTGTCTTTGATGTACAAGCTGACCCCACCCTGTGGCCTGTGTTTCCTCTCACCTCTGAAAAAATTGTACTCTGGTATCCAAGGGCCCAAGCAGAGTCGAAAGAAACATGAATAGCCCTAGGCATGGCACTCCACCGTGGTGGCCTGACCTCTCAGATAAATTCCTGAACATATCTGAGATGATATCTGTAATTCTAGTTGTGCATGCAGGGGATGAGCTCTGGCTCTTTGGTCCCACCTCTCGACTGTCAATAAACTGGTTGGTGTCCAGATTCTGGAGCCTATTGGGTTCTATCGAATCTACATTTAAAGCTATTTATGGAGTCTGCCTCCACCACATCACTGCTCAATTCATTCCATTTAAGCTTGATGGGGTTCTGGGAGTTCTTCTACTCCTCAAACCCGGCCCGAGACAGGGTTTGACTTGTGACAGGGTTTGACTTGTGACAGTTTGGTCCACATGGCTGTTGCTTGGAGTTGCCCGCAGGCCCACATACCTACCACAGCCCGGTTGGTCCGGAACGTCTTTTAAAAAAAGTCTAGTTTTCTCTTGAAGATGTCTACGGTTGTTCCGGTAACATTTCTTATAGTCGCTGGGAGGACGTTGAACAGCTGCGGACCTCTGATGTTATACAGTGTTTTCTGATTGTGCCTATGGCACCTCTGCTCTTCCCTGGTTCTATTCTGCATTTTCTTCCAAATAGTTCTCTCTAGTACGTTGTTATTTTACTGTGTAGATTAGGGACGTGGCCTTCCAGTATTTTACATGTATATATTATTTGGTATCTCTCTCGTCTCCTTTCTAGTGATTACAGTTGGAGAGCTTTGAGAAGATCCCAATAATTTAGGTGCTTTATTGCGTCTATGCGTGCCATATATGTTCTCTGTATTCCCTCTATTTCAGCAATCTCTCCTGCTCTGAAGGGGGAAGTGAGTACTGAGCAGTACTCGAGACGGGACAACACCAGTGACTTGAAGAATACAACCATCGTGAAGGGATCCCTGGATTTGAAAGTTCTCGTAATCCATGCTATAATTTTTCTGGCTGACGCAATATTTGCTTGGTTATGCTCCCCAAATGTTGGGATCGTCGGACATCATTATTCCCAAATCTTTGACATGCTGTTTACCCATTGTGGGCAGATTCGATTGTGTTTTGTACCCTGTATTATACCTCTGAATCTTCTCTAACTTTGTCTTGTGTTTAATTAGGTATCGACTCTAGGCTGGAGTTGCATACTACAGGATTGGTCTGACATAAGTGGTATACAAGATCCTGAACAATTCCTTACAAAAGTTTCTAAAGGCAGTTCTTAAGTTGGCTAATCTAGCATATGCCACTGATGATATCCTTTTGATGTAGGCTTCTTGGGACAGGTTCGGTGTGATATCAACCCCCAGATCTTTCTCTCTATTTGACTGGTTGATACCTGGTTGATGGGGTTCTGGGAGTTCTTCTACTCCCCAAGCCCGGCCCGAGGCCAGGCTTGACTTGTGAGAGTTTGGTCCACTAGGCTGTTGCTTGGAGCGGCCCGCAGGCCCACATACCCACCACAGCCCGGTTGGTCCGGCACTCCTTGGAGGAATAAATCTAGTTTCCTCTTGAAGATGTCCACGGTTGTTCCGGCAATATTTCTTATGCTTGCTTGCTTATGACTCTTACAGGATTTCACCTCCCAGGTAGTACCTTGTGTTCAGCCTCCTGCTTCCTTTGCTTAATTTCATTACTTTACACTTTCCAGAGTAAAACTTTACTAGCCATTTTCTAGACCATTCCTCCAGTTTGTCCAGGTCGTCCCGTAGTCTGTCTATCTTCATCTGTCTTGATTCTTATCATAATTTTTGCAACATCGGCAAACATTGAGAGGAATGAGTCTATACCCTCTAGAAGATTGTTTACATATATCAGAAACAGGATGGGTCCAAGTACAGAGCCCTATAGGACTCCGCTGGTGATATCTCGCCACTTTGATGTCTCCCCGTCACAGTTACTCGATGTTTCCTGTTGCTTAGATACTCCCTTATCCACTGGAGCACCTTACCTTTTACTCATGCCTGTTTCTCCAAATTTTGTAACGACCTTTTATAGGGTACTGTGTCAAAAGGCTTTCTGACAGTCCAAGAAAATGCAGTCTGCCCATCCTTCTCTTTCTTGCCTTATTTTTGTCGCCTGGTCATAGAATTCTATTAATCCTGGTTGATACCTTGTCGATACCTGGTTGTCGGAAGTTCTTCTACTCCTCAAGCCCGGCCCGAGACCAGGCTTGACTTGAGTGTTTGGTCCACTAGGCGTTGCTTGCAACGGCCCGCAGGCCCACATATCCACCACAGCCCAGTTGGTCCTGCACTCCTTGGAGAAAATGGTCTAGTTTTCTCTTGAAAACCTAGCCTGTGAGGCATGATTTACCATCCCCAAACCCATGCTGGTGGTGTTACAAAGCTCTTTCCCTCAAGATGTCCCTCACTATCTTCCCCATCACCTTGCATGGTATACAAATTAGGGAAACTGGCCTGCAGTTCAGTGCCTATTGTCTGTCACCCTTTTTTGTTTATTGGGACTACTGTACATTAGCTGTCTTTCAGCTTTCCGGTAGGTCTCCTGTTTTCAGTGACCTGTTATACACCACAGAGTGGCACACTTAGTGCTTCTGCACCCTCTTTTAGTATCCATTGTGAGATTCTGTCGGCCTTTTACCTTTGTCATATTCAGCTCCAACAATTCCTTTTGACCTTATCACTGGCAAGTTCAAATTCTTTCAGTGTTGCTTGGTTTGCCGCCGCCTCATTTAGTACAGGGGATTCTTGCTCTATTGTAAAGACCCCCTAGAACCTCTTGTTGAGCTCTTCACACACCTTGTCATTCTCTGTGTATCTGTTCTCCCCTTTTTTCAGTTTCATCACTTGTTCCTTCACTGTTGTTTTCCTTTTGATGTGTCAGTGCAGGGGGCAGTGCTAGCAGGTACCCTGGGAAGGGAACACAGAGCACATGCAGCCTGGAGCACAATGAAGCCAAGCCCATGCAATAAGCTAGATAAAACACACACACATATGAAGCAAATACTAAAAATATACAACAGATATGTGGAGCCACTGGGTGTAACCTTCACTTATAAACAGATTAAACTGGGGCATAACCCAAGGGTTAGGTAACATGCTAATAAAATACTAATCAAATATTATTTAACCCTTAAACTGCTCAGCAAAAGGGGCAGGGGAAGCAAATTTTCAAATTATGTAAAAATTACTTAAAAATGTTAAACAAATCTCCAACTTATTGGCTTCAGCTTTGTGAAACTCATGAACATTTTCAGAAATTTATTTTAGACAAATTTTTTAAGAAGAACGTTTTGTTGCTAAGGAGAACAGCTGCTATTAACTGGAAGTGATGGATAATGCGGTCACAAAGAGTTGCAAGCACTTGTCCGACGCACAACGAAGAAGTGTTCACAAAGTGGATATGCAGCTGGTGCCTTTATAGCATTGCTGAATAATACACAATAGCACAAATAATAATATGTATGTTATTATTCTCTATTTTCTTATATTATCATATAAATACATTGCCCAATGTTAATATCTGTTATTTTCATCAATGTCCAAAAAGTTTTTTTTTTAGGGAAATTATTTGTTTTCAAGTTTTTTCTTTTTATTATTATCTGTTTTTGTTGTAACCTTCACATCCTGGAGAGTGCATACCAGTCCCTATGTGAAGATACAATGAAATTGGTCAACAAATAAATCACAACTCGTAGAACTTGGGACTTTGAATTTTTGGGGCTGATTTTTTCACAGATTTCAAACTATTTTCTTTGTCTCTTTAGGTTGTTTTGATGATTAGCGACCACTTTAGGGTTTTTCACTTATATAAAGTATACCCAAAATGTATCCCATAAATCATTATAATTATTATAATTATCCCTATACAGTATTTTTGGGGGGGGGGGGTATTTTTTTCTTGATTTCATTTCAACACAAATTGACCTACAACTTTCACATATTCGAGTACAAATGCCAATGTTTATTAAAACATACAAGTAAATTCATGGCCAGCACTTCTTTATTGTTGTGCATACGTGTACTGTATTTTAAATGCCATATTGACAATTTCGTTTACAGTAAACTATACTGAAAACCTGTATTCTAAATATATGAAAATGAAGATCATATGCTTTCCTGAGCACACAGTAACACCAAATGAACAATTGGCGATATTTAATATTTTTGCAGCCAATTTCAAAACCTGAAGTTTTCAATATACAATTTTCATAATTGTTTTTTATTGTCTTGTTTTTCAAGTTACATTGGTATCATTTAGTCAAAGTTGGAGCATTTGCCTAGTAGATTATGCACAAAACATTTGAAAGCAATTCAGTAAATTTTAAAAACTAAGCTCCACATCCAACTTCATATGACGTTAAGCACAGCTTAATGGTTAAGGGAATTTTTCAGATTTTTTTTTTATGAATCCCCAAACTGAGATACCCTGTACGTGTTCTGAAGTTTTTGCTCTTCTTCTTCTACACACAGGTTACTTTTTCTGTTGGAATATTTGTTGCCACTTGCATATGTAAATTATTATCCTCTTTTTCTGTAGACATATATATTCTCCAAGTTGGATCTCATTTTATCTTCTCTAAATAGAAATATTTTTTCTTCTAAAAGTTGGATAATTCTTAGCATATGTGAGATTATAGTACTGCATAGTACTAACACAGTATATATATCTAATAAAGATTTTAAACTTTGAGCACTATGAACTTATGGTTTTTAAACAAACTGTGTATTCATGTAATAATTATGGCACAGTAGGCAGCCCAAATTGATAAATGAAATTAAACAAGAGCAAATGTGAGAACATTAATTTTCCACCAACCCCGAAACGTGTGGAAGATCCGAATAATGTCGTCAGCACGAAGAGCGAGGCGCAAAGCAGCAGAAGCGCCGCCTCCTGGTGGGGGAGCAAGAAGAGAGAGCGTCATCCATGGTCTGAAAACTACCACACCCACGCAAACATGCAAAACACCAAAATTCTAATGTCTACTCTGCCACCAAGGAAATACAGCACCTTAGGTGTGCATGTAAAGCATGCAGAGCAGGGTAATATGAGTTTTCATCAGGCAAAGTAAACAAGGCAAGATAATTACATGGCTCCCCACCACTGACATCAAGAGACTTTACCTAATGATCCCTATAGTGCTGTGATCGAGCATCAAACTACTGTACAGTATTTACATAAAGTTACCAAATCTGAGATCGATCTTGAATGGTCCCTCCTGGCACTGACGCTTGTATTTGTAAAAAAATTTAAAATGCTCTATCGGCCAATGCACACAATACTTGACTGAAACAAATTGATTCAGGTTTAGTATTAAAATTATAAAGAACTAAGACAAATTGCTATAGAAACAATACTTAAAAATTTGCATAAGCATGATGACAAAGTCTTAACTCTTGACACTGTATAATCCCAAACCATACAAACCTGACTGGATCTATCACAAAGGAGATATAGGCAATTCATACACAACACTGTGCCACACCTCTTTTTCCAATTGTCATAACTGTAGTACAGTAGAGTATATATAGTTTGGCTCGGTTAAGACCTGGTTAGGTTCATTATATCAATAAAATCCGTTGGCTGTCTTGCACATAAGTGTGACTTGTATACATCGCGAGTACCTATAGTACAAAAAATAATGACCCACCGCACAAAAATGGTTTAAATATAATTTAATTTATAGCGTCTTTAATTTTGAGGGTCTTCTTGGCTACCATTTTTGTAAATTGGAACTGTTTGCCTTTTTCCAGATATCTCGTAAGATTCCTATGGACAAAGATGTCTAGAATATCAGTTGAAGTGGGATGCTGCTCAGTTGCACATTCTCTCAGCACCTAAGGTGAAACTCCATCTAGTCCAACAGCTTTATTTCTTCCTAGCCACTTTAGTAAATTTTCCACTTAATCTCGAGACACCTCTATGTACTCTACGGTGTTTTCTGGAATTGGCTCTCTGAAATCTTCATTTTCCACAAACACACATAGGAACTGTTCATTTACTGTTTCACACATTTCTTTTTCATTCTCAATGAACCTGTTCTCCATTCTCAATCTCTGGATTTCATCCGTCACATGCAGCTGGCTTTTAATTAATTTATAAAAAAGGCCTGGCTCTTTTTTTTACGTTTGCAACTTGTTTCTCAAAAGTTCCCTTCTGCTTCTCTCCTCACTGCTGTGTATTTGTTTCTTGCTTGTTTGTAGTTCTGGTATGTTTGAGGGCCATACCTCCTCTTATAATGTACACATTTTCTTGTATTTTCCTCTCTGGCCCTCTCACAATTTCTATTGAACCAATCCTGTTTTATGGTTCTGCATCTCTATTTTGGTATAAATATTATTTTGTACCTTCATCATATAGTTCACAGAATTTGACATACATCTCATTTATTTCCTTGCCTGGCAACAAGTCTTCAATTAAATTCATTAAGGAATTTATTAAGTTCCCCATAGTGTGTTCTCTTAAAATCCAGTTTATCAACTGTTTCAATATCCCCATTATCTTCTAGATTAATAGTGCCCTGTATATCACAAAGCATTTAATTTCAAACAAGACATGATCACTCTTTCCCAGGAGGAAAGTACTAGATGTTAAATATATCTTCTTTTCTGGTAAATATTCAATCCAGAATTGATAGAACATCCCTTCCCTCATTCTTGTGGCCTGATTGATGTGTTGAATATCAGGTATCACGTGATGCATGAATATACAGTATTCAGAATGAGGTTTACAAATCTGCTTGTCCAAATGTCCTCTGTTCTTGCTACATAGGCCTCCCAGTCTATTGCTTTCACATTAAAGTCCCCTAGTACCAGCAATCATGATTTATCTTTATCTGCTTTTACTATAATTTCTCTCATGATACCATTACAATGCCCTTCGGAATCCACCATTCCATCACACATAGTGAGCACAGACACTGGCTTTGCCCCAGGGCCTTTCTACTGCTGCTTCCAGGGCTTTGCACCAATCAAATATGGACCCCTGGGTCCCTTTCGACTCTACATTTATTCTTCTTTCGCAGGGAAATGGGTTTTCGAAACCCTCCCCCTCTGTACGAGTGTGATTTGGGTGCAGGTTCCCATATACAGTGGAACCTCGAGTGACGAGTGCCTCAATATACTGTACGAGCATTTTGAATAACAAGCTCGCCGATCACCGACAATTTGTCTCGATTGGCAAGCGCTCGTTTGATTAACGAGAACACCACATGGTGCGTTCCCGCTGCTTCTCGCACATTCTCGGATGCCTCCGACGATGCAAATAAATTATTTATTTTCTTGAAAGATGCTAATGATGCTGGGATGTAAAGGGGTGACTGCTGTGATGTTGCAAAGCATTGAAATTTTTTGTCGAATAAACAGAAATAAATGAAAACATTTTGAAAAAAGAACATGTCAAAAAGGTTCGTTCAGTGACTGTCAAGTAAGCTGCTCCATGTTTCTTAAAAGGAAAATGTCATAAACGTTCTTGAGGTTATCTTGAGTTGACTTTGGGGCTTTTTAGTGTCCCCGCTGCCCGATCCTCGACCAGGCCTCCACCCCTAGGAAGCAGCCTGTGACAGCTGACTAACTCCCAGGTACCTATTTACTGCTAGTTAACAGGGGCATCAGGGTGAAAGAAACTCTGCCCAACGTTTCTCGCTGGTACCCGGGATCAAACCCGGGACCACAGGATCACGTGTCCAGCGTGCTGTCCGCTCGGCCAGCCGGCCTCCTCGTTTAGTGTGTGCCAGGTAGGTTGCTCCATTATTAATAAATGAAAAAATACAAAACAAATTGAACACATTTGAAACAAATTAAGATTGTCAAAATGGAGCATCCAACCTGACAAACACTGAATGAACCTTTTGCTATAAAACAAATGAAAAAAAAAAGTGAACAAAAGTTGAAAAAAGAACAAATATTATAAAGGTTCATTCAGTGTATGTCAGGTAGAACCATTATTTAAAAAATTGAATATCATATTGATGTTTTTCGGTGGTGGAACAGATTATTTTTATTTCCAATATTTTAAATGGGGAAATTCGTTTTGAAAGAAGAGCATTTCTCATGACGAGCTCAGTGCCGGAACGGATTAAATTCGTTAATCGAGGTTCCACTGTAGTTCATTTCCACATTCTTTTGGGCCCATTGGGTTCATCCTCCCAGAGGTTTTGATCCTATTGAGTCCCTCTGGCTACAGCTCTGGAGGCTCTATTTACGTACCTTCTGCAAGACCTAGATTACACCTTGCACTTGGATCCTTCCACATTTCAGTTTGGGTCCGCTTCCCAGTTTTTAATGCGCTATGAATTTCTAGAGTCTTCCCGGCTAGTTGGCAGTCCCTTGTTTTTGCTTTGGGCTTGGTGCAGCTTTCGTTTTATCTGTACACCAGAGTAGTGCAAGGAGTCTACTATGTTTCAGGTGTTTCAGGGGGACCTTTTGAAGCCTAACAACGACTGCCTGTTTGCCCATGCTATTTTCCAGAACTTGGGTCTCGTGCAGCTCCATGTCCAGGTTTTCCTGTTGTCAGTGCCATTGGTGGTGGATGACCTCGGTGCCCCAAACTTATGGGCTCTGTTGTGAGCTTCTTGATCCCCCTTGAGCTGCATTCTGATTGGCTCATGGAGGATGTTGAGGTGCTCGCCAGGGGTCCACTTGCAGTCTTGGCCTCAGGTCCTCTTAAGAGGCCAGGATTCTTGCTTGTGGTCCCCAGTACGTTAATATATGAGGTATAGGTTAATATAATCCATGAGCCAATCAGGTCCCAAATCTACACAGTAAAATAACAACGTACTGGAGTGAACGATATGGAAGAAAACGCAGAATAGAAGCAATGAAGAGCAGAGGTGCCATAGGCACAGAGAACACTGTATAAACATCAGAGGTCCGCAGTTGTTCAACGTCCTTCCAGCGACTATAAGAAATATTGCCAGAACAACTGTGGACATCGTCAAGAGAAAACTAGATTGTTTTCTTCAAGGAGTGCCGGACCAACCGGGCGCTGTGGTGAGTATGCAGGCCTGCAAGCCGCTCCAAGCAACAGCCTGGTGGACCAAACTCTCAAGTCAAGCCTGGCCTCGGGCAGTAGAAGAACTCCCAGAACCCCATCAAGCAGGTATATGACTTGACAAGGCCATGGCATGGATTGAAACGAGTGGAGCTATCAAGTTATCAAGCACTTTGTTACTACGATTAGAAGCCCTCCCAGAAAATCCCTCAGGACCTGCAATTACAACACCAAAGCATACCACCCAGTACTGTAAACAACACATTAGCACACCACCTAGTAATAGGGGGTTGCCATCCAAGTATACTGTCTAATAGGGAATGGCCATACATTATAAATCTATGTACAATGGTTTCTTTGAATAGCCAAATGATTTAACATAAAAATCCTGGTACCAGGCAGAGTTTGGGAGAATTCTCAAAACTGCCTGCAGACAAGTTATCTCCGAAACAGTGCCCCATTGATGTAATACTGTACATTATCACAAAGCAGCCACAAAGCTGTTGCAATCAAACAATTTGCCTTGTGTTTACAACTCAAAATCTTGTGAATACGAAGTCTAAAATTATTGGGTTCAAGTAATATTGAGAAATAATACATTACAGTATTACCTAAAATGCCCTGTCAGAAAACTGAACACAATGGGTACTTAAAGTGTGATATGAGCGGATGTCATTGAAATTCTGAAAAATTTACTAATTGCTAAATTTATATTTAATGGTAAAGAATCATATGTTAAAATTAAGTTCTATGCTCACTGTCAAAACTACATTGTATAACAGCCACCCTTACAAATATTAGCTCAATGAACTGCAATAGTGGACCCTACAAAACCATAAATCAACCTCTGCAAAGCATTCAAAGTATCTCCGAGACATTCACCAAAATCTAACATGCTCCGTAAAAAATTAAAATACAGAACTATAATTAGTTTTCAAAATGCCACCAGGGGGTTATAAGGCTCTAAAAATGAACTGAAATGTACAGTATTACATGATCCAAGAAATATGCTTACCAAATTTGAAGCGATTCACTTTAAGCCCTCTTGAGATCATCCAAAAAGTTGCGAATAAACCTGAAATCACAGAAAATTGGCTCTAGCAAAAATCTTTTTTTTTTGGGGGGGCCTAATGTATCAAATTAGCTATCCAGCACATTTCTTGGTAATAGGGTAATAATGTTTGATAAAGATCTGCCAATTCAGCAAGATCTAATGAAGAAAATCTCCAATATTAAAACCTTGTTTACAGAGCCCTCCAAGGGGTATGCTGACCAATAACAAATATACTGTATTTGTTAAATAAATGGTTGTATAAAAGTTAACATTTGTCTTAATGAAAGGCAAGATGTGATTAGCTCTTGTCATTACAAAAGTATGACAAGTTATTTAAAAAAAATCACTATGTACTTAATGCTACTTTTACCTACCCACTCCTATTGTTTTAGCAGCATAATTTTTGTTTTTAACCCAGAACCTAACATGGATACCTAATAATCTAGTGTTCAAGCCATGCCATTTCAATAATATTTAACTAGCGACCCCCAGTGGTATCAGATATACAAGGATGATTTGCCAGCTACTGCTGACCAATGACCTAAGCTAAGGACAAACTGTCACTTACTGAAAGTCATCAAGAGAACCATTACCATCTACTGTACTTATGTTAGTTAACTGATGAACCCCACATAGGCAATTTAATGAAATGGGAAGTGTATGCAAGACCATAGAAAATCCACATGCTACTTCTTTTCTCTTATCCTTAAAGCTTTATACTAGAGCAAATTTTCTGTGATTTTAGATTTCTTCTACTCTTTGGTAGTACAATAACATATGCATTACAAGCCCAACTGATCTCTCTCAACTAGTGAGCACCTGACGATTGCAAGTGTTGATAATGTAGAAAAATCAGTTGTTGATATAAAGAAATTGGCAAAAGCAAAGTCACTGTTTTAAAATACATAATACACAAAGTATCCCCCCCCCCCTCAAAAAAAATCTAATTGAGAATTGCTCAAATCCCGTTTGTGGGAGGTAATTTTACCCAGCAACTTTCCCAAATGTAAAACAAGAGAAAAGGAAAATGATTGAAGAATGTCAAGTAGTAATCTATATAAAAAAAATCTCATTTTGTAAACTACACTTTATTCAATCACTTGCAAATATTAAGGCAGGTAGACTTTCAGTTTCAACAAGTAAAACTTAATAGTTTTATTAAAAAAGACAAGACAAATCTAAGACTAACAATTATACCTTCAAATCAATGACTCTCAAAAAGAGGTCTACTGACACACCAGGATTTTAAATATTTATAGTGAAACCCATTTTGATATCAAGTACAGTACTGTATTCTCATTTAGCTTGAATAATTAGCTTTGACAATTACAGTAAAGTTTTTCCAGGAAATAGGTTGAAGCCCATGGCACACAATAAATTTTGAGATGCATCTGTCCATAAATTTTGCAACAATCTGATAAAGCATAAGACCAGTTTACTTTACAATTGGATGCCTTTTTCCTTTCACACCACAAGACGTACTGACCATCTACGTGATCGATGTTAGATGTTGTTGTTGTTGTTAAAGATTCGCTACCAGGAACAAAAAGTTCCAAGTAACACGGGCTATGGAGAGCCCGTAGTGCCTTTGATGTTAGACTATCCAAGCAGTACTGTCTTACTCTACTTCAGTTCATCATGTTTTTGTCACATCATTGCAGTGCCTCCCTCACCCACTCACCCGAGGAATCAAAATGATAAAAAGTTTGTCTGAAGAAAATGAACACCAAGATAGCATACCTGGAGAGGGTTCTGAGAGTTCTTCTACTTCCCAAGCTCGGCCTGAGGCCAGGCTCAAGATAGAAGTGAGGAGGAAATCATTAATTAACTACTGCACTGCACACCTAGTTTCAGCAAAAACTTCACAGTGCAATTGTTAAGGACATTTTTTTTGCTTTGTTTTTATATATACTGTACAAGTTAATGTCAAAATGTTTCCAAATTCAACCACTTTCATTTCAAAACACGTAAGAGCAATGAAAGCACAACTCCGAGTGTCAAAAGGTGCTTTGTGCAGTGCAGTGGTTAAAGGTACTATAATGAAATGGCTCTTTCAAATGGCTTGGAACTGTCTACCTGGCAAGCTCCACCCAGTTCAATCCACACCCCAGGCTCTTGCAAGTCACTGTAAACCTTCCAGGGACTAGAGGCTATAACCTGGGTTCCTCTCAAGGGGCACAAGGGGCAGGGAATCATCTTCACCCTAACTGAGAAAAGACCACAAGAAAGGTGGGCAAACCAAAACATACAAACAGCATGGTAACACAGAAAAATGAGACAACGAACAAGACAACTGAACCACTCCATCGTGAGGCAATTCTTTCATTAGATCCATTTGCACACCACCAGGGAAATGCACATCTTTTCTCAGTTCCCTAACCTTGAATATTTAGCCAGGCAGATGAAAAAAAAAAGACCCTATACAGTACAAGAAAGGGAAGGCCCCAAAGGAGCAACCAAGTACCCACTGGAAAGAGGAGTTGCATTACTGTACAGTATTTTTAATGTTTTTTTTTCTGGGCTGGCTCCTATTGGTGGCTCTTTGGTGTTAACTAACAGAAGCCAGAGTGCAATAGTCAACAATGTAAAATCCTGATCATCCACAGTGTAAGGGTGACTGTATGTGTGTGCGTGCTGCAGTGTTTTATGCAATTTTGCAGGGTTAACCCTTAAAGGGCACAATACATTTATAGCTGGATTGAGTAACTACTGCAGCAAGGCGCAACCCGGCTACGTATGGTTAGGAGTCCCACGTATGATATAAAAGTCCCGTGGCTACATGGGCTTCGCATCAGCTTCCTCAGGACTCTAGTAAACAGACACCATTTTTTTTTAAATTGTGGACAACATTCCTGGGTGTGAGAGCCTCAGTACTGAGTGAGCAACCAAGGCTGGTGCACACAATATGAGCTAACAGCACTGCTGTTCAGCTTGTGACCACAGCATCGCCTAAAAATTTCAAAATATATATGTAGCTGGTATTATTTGCCTAAATAATATGAGTAAACTGGAAATACTAGCCATGTTAGTATTACAGAAGAGCCTGACTGTGATAAAGATTGTGTACAATGTTCAGATATCAGTGAATGCAATGCTGTTCTCAAGATGTTCCCAGCACTAGCCATAGCACTAGTACTAGCCATTGTTTTGTCTATCTAAGAATCTTCAAACGACTTCTCATGTTCCTTTACAAAATAAACTTGTGTTAAATTATTAATTTACAGGATTTAGTGACCAGGATTCCGATAATAGCAGGATTGTAGTGATAATCAGCGATATGCATAGTATGGTGGGAGGAGTAATCTTGGTGAGAGAGGGAGGGAGAGATGATGCCCGAAACGCTTTGCGTAATAGTGGCTTTAGGCATTGTATGTACTAGCCCTAACTATAAATCCATCACTCTTTGTAAAATCTCTTATGTATGTACCTTACCTAAATAAACATTTTTTTTTTTTGTGGTGTCTGCTGGCTGGTGTGTGGCAACCTGTTATTGTCTGGACTCACTATATCAGCTTAGTGGTTCATTATGGTGAACACAAATGTGGATACTTATTTATATATATATGTCGTACCTAGTAGCCAGAACGCACTTCTCAGCCTACTATGCAAGGCCCGATTTGCCTAATAAGCCAAGTTGTCATGAATTAATTGTTTTTCGACTACCTAACCTACCTAACCTAACCTAACCTAACATTTCGGCTACCTAACCTAACCTAACCTATAAAAATAGGTTAGGTTAGGTTAGGTAAGGTTGGTTAGGTTCGGTCATATAACTTAGTTAATTTTAATTCCAATAAAAAAAAATTGACCTCATACATAATGAAATGGGTAGCTTTATCATTTCATAAGAAAAAAAATTGAGAAAAAATATTAATTTATGAAAACTTGGCTTATTAGGCAAATCGGGCCTTGCATAGTAGGCTGAGAAGTGCATTCTGGCTACTAGGTACGACATATATATATATATATATATATATATATATATATATATATATTATATATATATATATATATATATATATATATATATATATATATATATATATATATATATATATATATATATATATATATATATATATATATATGTCGTACCTAGTAGCCAGAACTCACTTCTCAGCCTACTATTCAAGGCCCGATTTGCCTAATAAGCCAAGTTTTCCTGAATTAATATATTTACTATAATTTTTCTTATGAAATGATAAAGCAACCCTTTTCTCTATGTATGAGGTCAATTTTTTTTTATTGGAGTTAAAATTAACGTAGATATATGACCGAACCTAACCAACCCTTCCTAACCTAACCTAACCTATATTTATAGGTAAGGTTAGGTTAGGTAGCCAAAAAAAGCTAAGTTAGGTTAGGTTAGGTAGGTTAGGTAGACGAAAAAACATTAATTCATGAAAACTTGGCTTATTAGGCAAATCGGGCCTTGAATAGTAGGCTGAGAAGTGCGTTCTGGCTATTAGGTACGATATATATATATATATATATATATATATATATATATATATATATATATATATATATATATACAGTGCTTCCTCAGACTAACGAACCCCGCTCTATCGAATTCCCGGAAGAGCCGAACAAATTGAATTCGGTACCAAATGTTCAGTGGAACATACAAATGTTCGATTAAGTGAGGAATGTTCGTCCAAGCGGTCACCGAGGCCGAGCGTCAGAGCTGGCTGTCATCAACTATGATTCGCCAGAGTGTAAACAGTTATTCATCTATAGTGTTTTATTATCCTTACCCATTGTTTCTAGGGAGAAATGGTGATAAAAATGGTGATAAAATGGTGTCAGGGGGGGCATTGGTGAGAGAGTTGTTGTCAGGAGGCAACACGTGCTCCCCCGCCCCCACCCTCCTTCCTCCACCTGACCACAGAGACCACTCACTCTCCTCTCGTCGTCAGATGCCAAGAGTCAATTTAATGATAATTATCGCATTATCTACACTGAAAATAGCCTTTTTATTAGAAAAATGTCATATTGGAGCAATAATAATGGTGAAAATT